GATTGATGAAGAATTGACACCTTTGAATCATGGTGTTGGAGAAGGATATTAAGTATACCATGGACTGCTGGAAGAATGAACACATCTGTCTCGGAAGAAGTACAGCCAGAATGCTCCGTTGAAGCAAGGATGGTGAGAATTTGTCTTTGGACATGTTATCAGGAGGGACCAATCCCTGGAGAAGGACATCATGCTTGGTAAAGTAGAGGGTCCCTGAAAGAGAGGAAGACCCTCATTGAGATGGATTGACACAGTGACTGCAACAATGGGATCAAACATAGCAACAATTGTGAGGATGGTGCAGGACCAGGTAGTGTTTTACTCTGTTGTACATAGGGTTTCTATGAGTTGGAACTGACTTGACCGCACCTAACAACAACAACAGTCTTCTCTAGAGAAATAGAACTACTAAGATATAGGTAGGTAGATAGATAGATAGACAGATAGATAAATAGATGGATAGATAGATATTAAGGAATTGGCTCATGTGATGGTGGAGGCGGCAATTCTAAAATCCATAGGTCAGGCTACAGGCTAGAGAGTCCTGCAGTCTTGTGTCCCAAAATTCACTGGTCAGCTGACAGGAGGAGTGGAGGAGTTCTGACGAGATATCTATTTATAGTCTGGAGGCAGAATACACCCTAGGGAAAACTCTCTTTTTGCTCCTAAAGCCTTTAGCTGATTGGATGAAGCCCACCCACATTATGGAGGATAATCTGTTTACTTAAGGCCTACTGACTTAATCACATATGATTATTTTATGTGCTTGGCTACTAACTGAAAGTTCAGCAGTTCGAACCTACCACCTACTCTGCGGGAGAAAAATGTGGCAGTCTACTACCGTAAGGATTACAGTCTTGGAAACCCTATGGGGCAATTCTACTCTGTCCTATAGGGTCTCTGTGAGTCGTAATCTACTTGACAGAAATGAGTTTGGTTTTGGTTTTGGTTAATTACTTTGTAACAGTATCTAGAATAGTGTTTGACGAAACAACTGGAAACCATAGCCTAGCCAAGGTGACATATAAAATTAGCCATCACAGTACATTCAGCTACTTCAAGGTTTATGGTAATATGGGAACTGGATTAGTTAAATTTTTTTAGAATTGTAAAGTAATGAGGTATAAAAAGAACTCTGAGTTTAAAGTGATAGAACTAGGTTTCATTGAAAGCTATGACATTGATTTGAGGAAGTCACTTAATCTCTCTGGGCCTCTGTTTCCTCATCTATAAAACCAGAGGCTTGGACTACATGAGTTTTGCTTGGGCTTCCCTCTTGCTTAAAAATGTGATTCTCTTTTTAAAGGCTGTGACTATTTCTAGATGAATATTGTGACGAATATTAAAATAAATCCTTTTAAGGGCTGTAAGAGGTTTAAAAAAAGGTAGACAAAAAGAGAACTGTCACTGGCTATTCATGCTCTTTGGACATTGGAATATTAAAAACCTTGGACTAATATAACAGACTGAAATACAGACCAACTTCTCAACAAACTAACTTAGGTGTCCTGGGGTGGTGTTGACGGTTAACATGCTCAGCTGAGGTTTGAGTCCACCCAGAGTCACCTCAGAAGAAAGGCCTGGCAATCTACTTCTGAAAAATCAGCCATTAAAAACCCTATGGAGCACAAGTGGGGTCGCCATGCATTGGAATTAACTTGATGGCAACTGGTTTTTAATTAACTTGTGATTTCATAGAGGAGAAAATTATTTTGACTAAGTTATGTAGCAAATGAATGGAGAGGTATTTTCTGAGAGGTCTTGTCCTGAGATAAGACCTCACTTGGGCATCAGTGATAGAAAACCTAATTCACACGGAGCTCATTGTGAAGGCAACATTTCTGGCCTCTCTGTTGTATGCTGAATGATAGCTCTACCTCTCTGATATGGTATCTTATCGTCATGTGTACTCATAGTTCTGAAATTTTATAATTGGTAAACATTTCATTTTAAGATTTAAAAAATCACTTGAAAATAGTGGAGGGTATGATGGTAAGATTTCTTTCAAGAGCTATGGACAAAGAAGAGTATTTGAACCTGCTACTTCATTGCCCGCCTCCCCGTTTGAGTAGAACATTGTAACTTTTGAAGCTAACCTAGAATGGACCATAACCAGCTTGCTGAGCTGGTGACTTTATGCACAATTAAGCCTTGTTGGGATTTTCTTTCTTTGTAATAGTGCTGTTACAGCGTGGGATGCTATTCAGTTCCAAACAACATTCCATTTAATAACTAGGCATTAGTTCACCCACGAAATCAGGGCCATCACTAACTGATAAGCATCGCTGCTTTCCTTTGCCTCACTTGGCTCTCTTGCCCTTAAAACAAAGCATGGCAACAGCATGGCCCTTGAGAAAGAAGGTTGGAGGGAGGGTAGATTGAGCAATGATGACCAAAATTCCATCTAGTCAGAGAAAGTACTTTCTCCTAGTCTTTTCCTTGTCGTAAATATAAACTTACCCCTTTCCAAGCAGCACTTTAAGTGCCATTAAATAGAAAGCTAAACAAAAACCCAAACAAAACAAGTAACAGCACCAATGACTGCATCTCTGAGATGTGGAAGAGATGAAAATGTATGGAATGGCATGCAAAAGATACGCACCAAAAAACATGAACAAGAATGTTCATAGTAGCATTATTTGTAGTAATCAAAAGTAAAAAAGACTCAAATGTCCATCAAGAGTAGTAGAATAAATAATGATATATTCATACAATAAAAACTCAAGAAACTACCACTCCACTCAACATCATGAATGACTCTCACGAAACTAACGTTGAGAAAAAGAAGCCAGACTTAAAGGAGTGCATAATGCATGATTCCATCTATGCAAGGTTCAAAATTTGGCAAAATTAATCTATGGTGTTAGCAGTCTTTCCCCTTCCCTTTGGGGAGAAATAGAGGTAGAGAATGAGGTAATTATGAGAGGGGCTTCTGGGTGCTAGTAATGATCTAGTTTTTTATTTGGATGGCGATTACATGGGTATGTTCACTTTTCTTCAAACTGTGCATTCATATTTTGTGTTCTTGTCTGAATATTTTTATACTTCAATGAAAAGTTTATTTAAAAATTGTGTTGGGACCCTTTTAGCTCAGTAATGAAGTCACTCCTGAGGTTCACCCTTCAGCCAAAGATTAGACAGGCCCATAAAACAAAACGAGACTAAAACAGCACACCAGTCCAGGGGCAAGGACTAGAAGGCAAGAGGGGACAGGAAAGCTGGTAATAGGGAACCCAAGATCGAGAAGGGGAGAGTGTTGACATGTGGGGTAGGTAACAAATGTCACAAAACAATATGTGTACTAATTGTTTAATGAGAAGCTAGTATGTTCTGTAAACCTTCATCTAAAGTACAATAATAATAATAATAATAAAGAATACTTTAAAAAAAGTTGTGCTGGGAATGAGAAACTGCTTCAACTAGACTGGATCTGAGGACCCTGCAGGCATCAATTCAATTGAGTCTCACAGCAACCATATAAGAGTCAGTTTTATGTAATTATAATAAATTAGTTTTTTTTTTAAATCCACTTTTCATTTTAGAATAGATTGATTTACAGAAAAGTTGCAAGATAGTACGGGGAATACCACTCACCCAGTTTCCTCTATTGTTAACATCTTATATTTCAATGGCATATTTGTTACAACTAAAACATCAGTGTTGGTAAAACTACTACTAAGTAAATTCCACATTTTATTCCAATTTCACTAGTTCTTCCACTAATGTCCTTTTTCTGTTCCAGGATCCCATCCAAGACCATAATACATTCAGTCATCTTGTCTCCTAAATCCTCTCTGGTCTGTGACAATCTGTCTTTCCTTGTTTTTCATTACCTTAACAGTTTTGAGGGAGTCCTTGGGTGGTGCAAATGCTTAAGCACTTGACTACCCACACAGAGGCACTTCAGAAGAAAGGCCTGGCAATCAGCCATTGAAAACCCTATGGAGTATAGTTCTATTCTGACACACATGGGGTTGCCATGAGCTGGAATCGATTTGATGGTAACTTACTATTTTTTAAACAGTTTTGAGGGGAAATGTTGCAGGTATTTGGTAGAACATCTGAGTTTGTCTGATGTTTTCTCATCATCATCCACCATATCAGGGTACATGCTATCAACTTGACTTATCACTTGTTAATCTTCACCTGGTAGTGTTTACCAGGTTTCTCCACAGTAAAGTTACCTACCATCTCTTCCCACCCCCATATACTCTTTCCTTTGGAAGTAAGTCACTATATGCTGCCCACACTCAAGCAGGGCGGGGGAAGTAGGGATTAAGCTTTAATTCCATTTTTAAATTTCCATTTTTTAATACATTTTCTACCACGCATCACTTATTAGCTCAGTTCATGTATATAGTTCATAAATAAATATCCTATTTTGCTTCCTTCGAAGCAGTTAGATAGCAAGTAATTTGTCTTTTAACCTCTCTTCGTTATTAAATGTTTTCCCGTTTTAACGGAAACCTTGTAACGGGATAAATACGATTCAAACTAAAGAAGGGATGTTACTTATTTACTTAATTAAAAATGCCTGAGTAAGGGCGACCCTGTGAGCATCTTCTTCATCAGAGTTAATAATTACGGGGTTCCGAATGTTGGGGAAGGGAATGAACCTGAAGGAAGGATTTAAATCTGGGGCAGGAGAGAGTTTGCAAACTTGGAGAAGTACGCAGAGTGCCTATAAGAATTATTCCACTTTTCCTCTGAGGATCCATCCATAATCCCTATCAATCACCTGACCCACCAACTCTGAACTGAAGAAGCCCTAACAGCCCACAAACGGCGGCCTGACGCGCGCGCGAGACTATTTCACCGCGGACCTGCAACCTCTGCCCGGAGTGGAGTAACTGGCAATTTGTATGGTAAGGAGGCCGGTAAGAAGCTCCACCCCGGCCTAGGAGCGGGCGGTCCAGAGGCTCTGAGCGCCGCCCGCTGAGCCGAGCCCGGCCTCCCTCTTGACCCCGCCCCTCCTGTGGCCTCGAAGTCTTCCTTTCCGGGTCGCGCTGGGCCCGCTCGCAGCGGTCGCGCCGTAGCGCGGGAGTCTGGGAGCCGCCTCCGTGCTCGGGCCTCCCTGCGCCGCCTGGTCGCTGGTGAAACTTGCGGCGCGTGCCTCTCCCGGACCCTTCAGGGTACGGCCCTTCCTTTACTTTTCCCTCCTGCGCGTCTCCGTTTTCCTCCTTCGGCGCTGGGGGCGGGGCGCCGCGCTCTGGGAGCCTGGGCGCCGGGCCCAGGCCCCCGCCGACTGCCTCTCACCACCACCGGTCCCCCGCGCTTTCCCGGGACCCTGAAAACAGCGTACGTGTGTTGGACGCTGCTTCTCTGCACCAGTCTGCCTGCGGGGCGCGAGGCCTGGCCCCGGCGTGCGCGCTTGGCGCAGGGTTGTTTACAGCGCGGACTCTGCGGTTAGCCCAGACCCGTCTGCGGTGCTGTCGGCCACCTGTCTGTCATCTATGTACTTGTTGCTCCTGTGCCTGTTGACTTCATTTCCCATTAACATCCTATGGTTTTTTCTGACCTGGCCCATGTGTTGTTTCCTCAGGATTGCCACACGATGCCTGGCTGCAACATTGTTTCTACGTTTAGGGGTGTCTTAGATGATGATAATCACCCACTTGGCCTGCTTGTCAGGATGTTTGCAGTGGGGGTGGTTTTGGGTTTCATTAATGGTTTCCCAAATGCTCATTGCTACAAAGCCTTGTTCACTGATTGATTTATACAAATAATTAGAAAGTCAAAATTACATAAACCTGTGGTCAGGTAGTTGCATCTGTGTCTGGCTTTATGCCCTGGAGTACTCATTAACACCAGGTGCAGGGATCTCTGTTCCGGTGGAGGACACAGCCTGCCTTTACTGATTCCACCTTGCATTATGCGGTTTCTTAAACTCATTTTTTCCTTCAAGCTCACTTCATCTTCTGCCCACCTATACTATATATTGTGTCTATTGGATGAGTTGAGGGAGATTATCCAGACACATAAACGCTCCCATAGTCCTTTATTAAGTTCTTGGGAGAAAGGGTTAGTGTACTTGTCTTTTTAGCCAAAATATGCATTACCCCATAGTTGTTGCTAGTTACGTGGCGTGGGCATCCACTCATGTACATCAGAATAAAACGTTGTCATATTCTGCGGCATCTTCAGGATGATTGGTATGCACAAGGCCATTGTTGCAACCACTGCGTATTTTGAGTGCCTTGCAACCTAGGGAGCTCACCTTCCAGCATAATATTCTGTCGTGATCCATGGGGTTTTCACTGGCTAACTTTCTAAAGTAGATTGCTACCCTTTTTTTTCCCGGTCTGTCTTAGACTGGAAGCTCTGCTGAAACCTCTCTACCATGGGTGACCCTGCTGGTATTTGAAATACCAGAGGCATAGCTTCCAGCATCATAGCAGCAAGCAAGCCATCACAGTATGATAAACTGACAGGTGGATGGTGGTACCTCATAGTAGTCATTTTAATTGTTAATTAAATCGGATTCTTCTTTTCACACTTCTTTTTTGATCTTCTTTTCACACTACTTTTTTGAGTACTAACCTCTTTTTTGAGGGGTGAGGAGGGCAGTATTGGTGCAGTAGTAGAATTCTTACCTTCCATGCAGGGGACCTGGATTTGATTCCTGGCCAATGTACCTTGAATGCAGCCACCACCCATCTGTCATTGGAGGCTTATGTGTTGCTATAATGCTGAACAGTTTTCAGTGGAGCTTCCAGACTAAGACCAGGAAGAATGGTCTGGCAATCTGCTTCTGAAAAAACAACTCCTGAAAACCTTATGAGTCACAACAGTCTGATCCCACTGTGCATGGACATTATGGATTGCATTGTGTCCCCCAAAAATGTGTGTCAACTTGGCTAGGCCGTGGTTCCCAGTATTATATGGCTGTCCTTCATTTTGTGACCTGATGTAATTTTCCTGTGTATTGTAAATGCTAACCTCTATGATGTTATTGAGGCAGGACACAATCTACAGGATTAGGTTGTATCTTGAGTCAGTCTCTTGAATATAAAAAGAGAGATGTGAGCAGAGAGGAGAGGAATGTCATACCACCAAGAGAGAAGAGCCAGGAGAAGAGTGCGCCCTTTGAACCTGGGGTCACTGCACTGAGAAACTCCTAGAGCCAAGGGAAAATTGATGACAAGGACCTTCTACCAGAACCGACAGAGACAGCATTCCCCTGGAGCTGCACCCTGAATTTGGACTTCCAGCCTCCTAGACTGTGAGAGAATAAATTTCTGTTTGTTAAAGCCATCTACTTGGAGTATTTCTGTTAGAGGAGCACTGGATAAGTAAGACAGTGGGGTTGCCGTGAGTCAGGGCAGACTCAACGGCAGCTAATAACAACATACCCTATCAACACACTAAACATAGTAATTATTTTTTTAACTCATTTTTGTATTCACTTTTATTGGAGGTCATTTGCTTTAATTGTCTCTATTGTTAGGTGCTGTCAAGTCAGTTCTGACTCATAGCAACCTTATGTACAACAGAATGAAACACTGCCCTGTTCTGTTCCATCCTCACAGTCATTGTTATACTTGAGATCATTGTTGCAGCCAGTGTGTCAGTCCATCTCATTGATGTTCTTTCTCTTTTTTGCTGACCCTCTACTTTACCAAGCATGCTGTGCTTCTCCAGGAACTGGTCCCTCCTGATAACATGTCCAAAGTATCTGAGACGAAGTCTCCCCATCTTTGCTTCTGAGGAGCATTCTGGCTGTACTTCTTCCAAGACAGATTTGTTCATTCTGTGGCAGTCCATGGTATATTCAGTATTCTTTGCCAACACCATAATTCAAAGGTGTCAGTTCTTCTTCGGTCTTCCTTATTCATGGTCCAACTTTCGCATGCATATGAGGGGATTGAAAACACCATAGCTTGGGTCAGGCTCACCTTAGTCCTTAAAGTGACATCTTTGCTTTTTAACACTTTAAAGGGTCTTTTGAAGCAGATTTGCCCAGTGTAATGCATTGTTTGATTTCTTGACTGTTACTTCCATAGGTGTTGATTGTTGATCCAAGTAAAGTGAAATCCCTGACAACTTCAGTCTTTTCTCCATTTATCATATTGTTGCTTATTGGTCCAGTTGTGAGGATTTTTGTTTTCTTTATGTTGAGGTGTAATCCGTACTGAAGGCTGTAGTCCTTGTTCTTCGTCAATAAGTGCTTCAAGTCCTTTTCACTTTAAGCAAGCAAAGTTGTGTCATCTGCATAACAAAGGTTGTTATTGAGTCTTCCTCCAATCCCGATGCCCCATTCTTTTTCATATAGTCCACCTTCTCGGATTATTTGCTCAGCATACAGATTGAATAAATATGGTGAAAGGATGTAACACCTTTCCTGATTTTAAACCGCATGGTATCCCCTTGTTCTGTTTGAACAACTGCCTCTTGGTCTATGTACAGGTTCCTCATGAGCACAATTGTTGTGGAAATTCCCATTCTTTGCGATGTTATACATAATTTGTCATGATCCACACAGTCAAGTGCCTTTGCATAGTCAGTAAAATACAGGTAAATATCTTTCTGGTGTTCTCTGCATTCAGCCAAGATCATCTGACATCAGCACTGGTACCTCTAGTTCCAGGTCCTCTTCTGAATTGGGCTTGAATTTCTGGCAGTTCCCTGTTGATACACTGCTGCAAGTGCTTTGGAATTACTTTTAGCAAAATTTTCCTTACATGTGATATTAATGGTATTGTTCGATAATTTCTGCATTCTGTTGGATCACCTTTCTTTGGTATAGGCACAAATATGGTTTTCTTCCAGTCAGTTGGCCAGGTAGCTGTCTTCCAAATTTCTTGGCATAGACAAGTGAGCACTTCCAGCATTTGTTGAAACATTTCAGTTGTCTCTAAAACGGCTAATTTCACAAACATATATAAATGCAGATCCATCTTTGCTGATTTGTTTCTGATCTGGAACCCTTCTGAAATCATGAAGGTTACCGTTCTCTTTTTCAGACAGGTGAATGGTTGGGTTCTTGAACAGGCTTTGCCCTGGGCTTGATGATTGGGTAGGTGTGGAGTAAAGTATTTAACTGCCCAATGAATTTGGTCTTTTCCTTGGTTCCTGAGAGAGAACCTTTAAAACCTTGGAATTTCTCTAGTGATTGAAGTATCTTTGACGAGGCCTCCAGACCACACTTGAGGGTTTATACTAATAAGGTGATTCAGGCAGGGGCTGGCCAGGCCAAAAACACCCACAGCATGGTATCAGTTGACCTGGGAAGGGGACATGATTCAATATATAAAACCTACATAATGAGGCCCAATAAAGGCTCTGGGGAGTGTCTGGGTGGCAGAAAGAGTTAAGTGATCGACTACTAGCCGAAAGGTTGGCAGTCCAAACCCACTCAGAGGTGCCTTGGAAGACAGGCCTGGCAGTCTGCTTCCAAAAGCTCAAAGCCTTGAAAACCCTATGGAGCAGTTCTACTCTGTACACGTGGAGTCACCGTGAGTAAAAATCAACTTGATGGCAGCTAATAACAAAGGCTCTGGACATGGAAGTTTCATGGGCTTGGTGGTAGACATTGGGGCATGTGGGAGGGTAATGAGTCCTTTGGGAACTCTTCCAGGCCTCACCCAATGCATCTTTACACTTGTATCCTTTTTGCTGTAATAAAACTGTAATTGTAAGTATAGCACTTTCCTGAGTTCTGTGAGTCCTAGTGAATTATTGAGCCCAAGGAAGTAGTAGGAACTAATTGGTCAGAAGTGAGGGGACTGGGGACCTCAGCTTATGGTGACGTCCTGAAAGGTTAGTGGGAAAACCCCGAATTTGTAGCCAGCAGGTGAAAAGTGAGGGTGTTGTGGGGACTCCCAAGCTTGCGGCTGGCATCTGAGGTCTTGGGCAGACTTGTCAGTCTAGAGGACTGTGCCCTTTAATTTATGAGGTATGACCTAGTCCTGGGTGGTTAGAGTCAGAGGAAGAAGTGCTGCGTGTGTAGCTGGTGTCAGAACAGAGGGGAACAGATTTGGTAATAACTTGATTTGGATTGATCCTTTAAGTTTGGTGTCATAGAGAAGTGGGATTTGATTTTCCAAGCATTAGGACATGCCAGCTGGTAGATGTCCTTTAGAGTATGCTGGTCGAAAACGTATAAGCTAGGATGCCCATAAACAAGCTGATA